AAAGCAGCGCTGTTTTATCATACTAGATACATTTGAAAGTTCTGTTATAATGGTACTCTGTGCGGTCGTCACCGGTCTATTAAAACGCACAACATATTAAAGTGTCTTTGGTGTTTCCATGTTTTCTACAAAACAAAACCGGAAATCGAGGGGTTATGACATCATTGGCAGACGACACAATGACACTATGGACACGGTACGTGTCACTAGTTAAAATTGCTTATTTCTCTGGATTTAAACATTCTTCGAAACATTTGGGATAATGTAAGTACACAAGTCAGCAAAATATATAACACTGTTCTAGTGGTTTTTGGATATTTTAATAAAAAAATCTTACATATTGTGCCTTTAACAGTTTCGCATGTGAAAATAATAGATGGACGCTGCAGTGATGTACTCTGAAAACAACATGGGCCATTTGGGTTAAAAACATATAAATACTCAATATATATAAAGATCTGGGCCAGACAGTGCAATAGTGGTAAAAACACGTGTTGCGATTACTGATGGATCCAATATCAGACTTAGCATCATCTTTTACTTTCAGTCTCTCTGAAAAGCCTGCGTCGAACTGCCTTGTTAAAAAACAAATCCGCAGTAAAGTTAAGCGAGCAAACAAACAGTGCTTCACTCACGTGATCTGGAGCTCTTTGCTAATTAACCCGTGTCTACAACAGACGCGAGTGGCACAACGCGACTAATTGATTCTGTCTACACTGGATGCAGCACGGAACAACACGACATGACAAATCCCCGATGTTCCATTCTATTTCTGATGTAGGCGCTCACGCTGCTTCTGACATGAATTGGATTCGCGACACGAAGCAACAACGCTCGCGTCTGATGTAGATACGGTGTTAGGATGTCAAGGAAGGCAATGCAAAGACTGTATTTTTTCACAACTTACACTACCCAGAGTCTTTTAATCCTCGGAGAAATCTCTATGGTTTTTTCAAATACAAATCCTGTATTTGCGTCTCTCTAGCATTTCCTCTCCTCCTACTACATGCTTGAATCAGTGGGCGGGGCTTAAGAGTCAGTGATAGATGAAGGCGTTGATCTTCTGCAGAGGCGGGCTTTCGGCGCACTATGACATTATAATGTAACAAAATCCAAAAGAGTAATTTTTCAGCTTGGTTTTAATAAAAGCTGTTTTTGAACTAATGAGAAAGTTTTGAGTTCTGAAACTTACAAGATGTTTTTATAGTACAATGCCCTGTCATATGTCAAAAGATCAAGGGAAATTTGATTTCTCAGTTCATGACCCCTTTAAAATCTTCCATCTGTCTGTAGTTTCTGAAATATTTGCTTTCTCATGAGACGAGATGAATTTCCATTGCAAAGTACAGATTAGCTAAACAGACACCAGCATCCTCACTGAACCTTTTCATTTAAATACATGTACACTTTTCTCAGACAGACACTCTTTCTTCTGTCAGATACAAATGCTCGAGTTGGTAAAGGCTCACATGTGTATTTCAAGTATTCTTGAGCCGTATGATAGCTTTTGTGGACTAAACCTAATTTAAAGGGGTCATATGATGCGATTTCAAGTTTTCCTTTCTCTTTGGACTGTTACAAGCTCTTGGTGCATAAAGAAGATCTGTAAAGTTGCAAAGACTAAAGTCTCAAATCCAAAGAGATATTCTTTATAAAAGTTAAGAGTCAACCACGCTTACCTAAAACGGCTCATTCTAACACGCCCCCACATATCTACATCACTATGTGGAAATATTAGCATAATGCCGCCCAAACGTGCACGCAAAGAAAGAAGGCGTGGTTTCAGAAACAGCAGTAGTGTTGATGCAGCCATGTCAGGGAGACGCTGTGTGTTTCTAGGCGAAAGCAAAAGCACTTTATTTGGCCTTCCAGAAGTAGATGCATTTAGGAATTTTTAAGATTACTTACAACAGAACAGCAATGCATTTTATGGACGACCGTTTCGTGAACCTAGGAGAGGAGGTAATTCTGACTTTGCTATGACAATCTGGCGCTTCTGAATGTAAGTATGTTTTGTTATTAGTTTAAGTATTTGCTATTGACTGTCGTGTGTGTGTGTGTGAGGGGAACAGGGTCACATACAGGAGAGTGAACAGCCTGTCAGAAATCATAGCACGTCAGCTGTCTTAACCGCGGCTTGTGTACTGACTCTGTTGCCCTTTCGGGCTTGAACTGACGGTAAAACTAACGACATTATTAACTGTCTTGATATTTACTTTGAAAGCTGAAGCTCGCGATTATGGTAAGGGGCGTTACATTTCCCACGCGTGCTTGTGGTGTTCGGCCAATCACAATGCACTGGGTCAGCTGGCCAATCAGAGCAGACTGCGCTTGTCAAAGGAGGGGGCTTTGTTGAAAACAACGTGTTTGAGAGAGGCGGGGCATAGAGGACCTACAATAATGTACAGTATTTGTCTGTCTTTACATTTACTTTGAAAGCTGAAGCTCGCGATTATGGTAAGGGGCTTTACATTTCCGACGAGTGCTTGCGGTGTTCGGCCAATCACAATGCACTGGGTCAGCTGGCCAATCAGAGCAGACTGCGCTTGTCAAAGGAGGGGGCTTTGTTGAAAACTACGTGTTTGAGAGAGGCGGGGCATAGAGGACCTACAATAATGTACAGTATTTGAAAAATAATGTGTTTTTTGAACATTAAAACGTCAACGTATTCTGTTACACCAAATACACAAAATAATGATCTTTAAAATAGCATCATATGACCCCTTTAAGTCGTTTAAATGTCTGTCTAGATTGTTTCAATAGAGTGTAAAATAAGCAATAATATGACAGCATTGATATCATAAATTTGATGTATGTTAATTTCAATAGCTCATCTCACACAAAAAATTATTTTTCAGGCTGGTTTGCTGTGGTTAAACATAAAAAGGTTGGCATAATTGAGTTCACATATTCATGACAATCTGCCATGTGGGATCCTCACCATATGCCCCTCTATTAAAATCCATTGTGACAGTTTACAATTAGCAAAGTCAGTCTGAACAACACATTTAGACAGGATCACAGTTACACATCACACAACACATGAAGATGTCATCTAGTCCCTATGAACACATTTGTCAGCATGTCTGTGGATGTTGAATACAGCAGTCAGTCCCTCCAAGATTTTGCAAATCTGTGAATCCAGAATTTAATGCAGACTCTGTATTATTTGTGGCAGCTTGCATTTTTGTCTTATTTCAACAACAAATTAATCAATACTGTGCAAGCAATCCAATGCCTTGTTTATAATGTGTTAAGAGTGTGGGATGTAATTAAAGTTTCTAGAGGTTTAATGATACTGTTAAACTACTTATATGTAGTGCTGAATATAATGTATATTGGGACGAATATTTGCTCGTCCCCATACATCATTTTACTGGATTTGCTCTTTTTAAATATTTCTAGTGAATGCAATAACTGATAATACTATTATAAATTATATATATATAATTATGAAATAATTTATTTTTAATGTAGAGTATATAGTCACATGTTGTATTATTGGTGGGTTTTCACTGCAAAAGAACACAAGAAACAGTTTTTGAGAAAAGCTGCAAATTCAGTCATTTTAGGCTGCAAAATCTAAAAGAAAAAAAAAGGATCCTGCTAAATCCTGGTGGGACTGAGCAGTGGTATATACAATATGCACAACCAATACAGCAGTTTTATTCAAACGCTATTCTAATTAATAATGCATGGCTCTTTTTCCTTTGTGTCCCTGCAGGGTTGTCAAAGAGGAAGTCTCTGACGATAACACCAAACTGCCTTGTTTCAACGGGAGAGTGGTGTCATGGGTGAGCTGCGATAACCTCTGCCTTATATAACATCTGAATCAGAGTGGAAAAGGCAGGCAGTCATGCATTCATATGTCATAAGAAAGATGCAGCACATGTGCTAAATCATACACTGCATCATTCTGGACATCACCAGTTTTAGTTCACTGTCTCATTACACTAATTAAGTCAGAAAGGCACTTTGATGTCAGACCGATTCTCTAAAGTGTAATGCATAATTCAGGAAATTGCGTTCTGCTGAATGCCATTTTTATTTAGTGCCTTTGAGGCCTTTGTTTGTTGTGGTCTTTTGTCATGAGTTTAGTGGAACAGTTCAAACATCCTGTTCATCCAAACTGTATGAAGGATAAAGAAGAGCCATTGAAACTTAAACAAAAAGCATCTGAATTAGACACATTTTTTTAATATGCATTTATGTGTCTGTTTGTAGCTTGTATTGGCCGAGAGCTCCCATACGGATGGGATGTCGGTGTGCACTGTCAGTCATACTGAGCTGCCCCAACCGCTGGAGAGGACAGGAGGTATTGGAGACTCCAGACCCACCTCGTTCCAGTGAGTATCAATACACATGTATCCTGTGAAGCAAACACTCCTGAACGAATCCACTAAACAGATGCGCCACTTGTGCATGTAGTATTTCAGCACAAAAATCTGGATCAGTGTGTTGGAGTCACACTGTCAAGTCACAGCAAAGTATGCCAGATTATAATAATCTGCATCCTCCATCGTCCTAAAAATCAGTTATCATTTTACATTAGAGATGTTTTTTATTGTTTTTTTTATTTATTTATTTATTGGTTTTGGTTGATATTGGATATTTAATTGTAGATGCTAATTTTTTCAGTTTTTTTTTTTCTCATTTAGATTAGCTTTGCTGTCATTTAACAGTCACTTATAGGCAGGGTAGGTGATTTGGTTTGCGCAGACATGATACGTCATCGGTGCATTCCATTACACTATTGCAGGCCGAGCGAGATTGGAAGGAGTTATTATTGTAATATTATTCACTTTGTACTGTAATGTTTTCTCACCGGTGAATGAGACATGAGGTAATCTGACAGCCTTGCATTCAACCCTTTACCAATGCCGTCTCTTATTGTGTCGCTGGTTAGCCCTTGGTCTACCTGTGCGCATTCAGTGATTATGCAGGGAGGGTGGGATCTTGCTTTCAATGCTAGCTTGCCATTGCTAGCCTCTCTAAAATCGCCTATCCTACCTTTAAAAGTAGTTTTATAAAAGTAGTTTTAGTTTTATTAAATTATGAATGTTTTTAATCACTATTAAATGAAATCTTTAGCAATTCTCGAAATAAATATCTATTTTTTATACTCTACATTATAATGTTGTGATGACTAAATTCACTTGTAGCCTTTCAAATGATTCATTTTATTTTTTATTTTTAATTCAGACAAATTTATAATAATTTTACTACCTATAGTATATACCGTTCAAAGGTTTGGGGTCTTTTTTCTCAGTATTTTTAAGAAATTAATACTTTTATTTTACAAGGATGCATTAAAGGGGTCATATGATGCTATTTTAAAGATCATTATTTTGTGTATTTGGTGTAACCGAATATGTTGACATGCTTTAATGTTCAAAAAACACTATGCCCCGCCTCTCTCAAACACGTCGTTTTCAACAAAGCCCCCTCCTTTGACAAGCGCAGTCTGCTCTGATTGGCCAGCTGACCCAGTGCATTGTGATTGGCCGAACACCACAAGCACGCTTCGGAAATGTAACGCCCCTTACCATAATCGCGAGCTTCAGCTTTCAAAGTAAATATCAAGACAGTTAATAATGTCGTTAGTTTTACCATCAGTTCAAGCCCGAAAGGGCAACAGAGTCCCGTGACAGACACAGTGATGATGGAGTACACAAGCCGCGGTTAAGACAGCTGACGTGCTATGATTTCTGACAGACAGTTCACTCTCCTGTGATGTGACCCTGTTCCCCTCACACACACACACACACACACACACAC